GGAGCTGACTGCACCCTTGCTTTCCCCCACCCTCCTTGCTGGGGGCCTCTCTGGTGAGGTGCCCCAGGACCAGCCACCCACCACACTGCCACTTCACCCTGAACATACCCATGCTGTGTGTGCTGTGGGTGGTGTGTGATGGGCTATTTGTGCAGATGGAGGCCTGCCCAGGAAGCTACACCCTGCTGCTGCTGATACTGCTGGTGCCCCGGGCACACCTGCACTCCTGTATTGGGACCCTAAGCTACAACAGCTCAGGGGGCAAGCCCAGCCTGTCCCAGCAACCTCTGTGGCTACCTGGAGGGCTATCTGTTGCAGTGCTACACATTCCTGTGTAGAGCTACACATTCCTAACCCCAGCATGTAAATAGTTGCCAGAATTTACACCTTCCTCAGCACGAGAGGCCCATGCCATTGCCCAGCTGTGGGGACATGGGCTGCTCAGTAAGGGTCTGACCTGTGTCCCGCCTCTGTGGGCTTTGGGGGGAAACCTGGGGCCAGGGGAGTGCAGGCAGGTGGGGCAAGGAGGGGGGCTGGGGGCAGAGTTAGGGGCAAGGAGGCTTCCCACATCCCAGTTTGGAACTTACCATGGGTCCGGGGCCAGTGAGGCTGGCGGCTCAGCGTGGGGCTCCCTATGCCAGGCAGTGTCCAGCTCCACCTGCTGTCCATGGATTGCAGTGGGCTGGGGGCTGGTGCCTAGCGAGGACCCCCCTAAGAAGCTGCTGGTGCTGCTGGCAGCCAGCAGTGGTATGGCCATCCACTCCTCATGGGTGGCTGTCGGGTGGGGCTGAGGCTGAGGCAGCTACTGGCCAGGGCTTCCCAGCCTGCCAGTGGGCACAGCAGCCAGAGAGGAGTGCAGGACAGGGTGAAGGCCCAAGGTGCTCTCCCCCAGTGATATGTCACCAGAGGTGTCAGGGTGGGGTGCAGGCTCTTGGGGCAACAAAATGCGGGTCAGCACCCGCATGAAGGGCATGGTCCTAGGGGCTCCACTGGACCAACGATTGTGGCCAGTCACAACCACCCTCTGGGCCTGCCAGGCCTTAGTCTTCATGCAGCACTGCTGTGCTGACCAAGAGTGGCCCCCTGCACACATCCCAGCTGCCAGGGCCTCATAAATGTGGGTGTTTGAGCTCCTGCCTTGAGTAAACTGCCTCAGGCCATACTTTTCACTTCACAGGGGAGTGCACCTCCTCCTGGGTCCAGCTGGCACCCTGGGGCTCCAGATGGGTGGGTCCACATGGATGGTGCTAGGGCTGGACATGGGGAAGGAGGAGGATGTCATGCCCTGCACCAGCTGACTGGGCCCCTGGCCCTGTGCTGCTGGCTCGGGAGAACTGGCAGCAGCACCCCCAACAGGGGCATGGCCAGGGTGTCACAGCCATGCAGCAAAGGTGCTTCACTACAGTCCTGCAAAGAGAGAAGTGGGGGGGTGAGCAGCAGCAGGTGCTGGCCCTGATGGCACAGCCAGCAAAGCCAACAGCCATGGGAGGATTACAGGGCTGGGCAAAGGATGCAGCCAGCTTCAGCCCTGGGGAGCACTCATCTGTGGCCAGAGAACAGCTCAGGAAGGGGACAGCCCCGGTGGACCCAGCTTGTGGGCTGTCTAGGGGGGCACATGGGGCCTGCTGGGGTGCTGCAGCTGCAAGCAGCTCCTGCTGGCTTCCTGGAGTGTATACCCTGAAGCACAAAATGGCTGCATACTTTTACACCTTGCAGTTAGAGACTGCCAAAGAACATCCCAGCCAGCAGCAGGACAGGGGGCCAGCCAGGAACCACTCCAGATGGTCCCCTAGTGGCTGGGCAGACCCAGCTGGGAGGCTCCTGCTATACTGCGCAGTAACGCATCTACATTTGCATTACTGCGCAGTAACTAATCGGGTACAAGTTGCCATAGTTACTGCACAGTACAGGTGTGCAGGTATAGACACGTGCTTGTACTGCACAGTAATTTAGGTTACTGTGCATTAAATGTGCACATGCAGATGTGCCCAGTGGGATACTCCTAACTCAAGATGAAGACAAAATTCAGTAAACTGGGAAGCAATGCTAACATCAGACCTAGGATGTTTGAAGAAACAATACAGCAAAAGACATGGTTAAAGTGAATGACCTTCAAATATCTCTTGAGAACTAACAGAATTGGATGGAATACATAGAAGAACTGCTGTTTCCAATACAAGAAATATAAGTTGTCTTATAATACAGGGTATTGTTTGACCTGAGGCAGAAGCAGTATTTATGCTTAGAAATAAAAACGTGCATTGGACTTATTTCTCTCCCAAAAGACACAATGTCTTAATGGGACATAACAGACATTGGAGACTGAAAAAATATATTTTCAAAGAAGCTATTTGGACTTAGCTTTCCTTCAGACTTTGATTTTGATCACAGGGACAAAATTCCTGTAGGCTAAAGTAAAAGTTCTCAGCTCTGGAACTGTGACATGGAAGTTTCACGTCCTACACAGTACAAAAGCCTTAAAAAGCCAAGAAAACAAGATAAATATCCCAGTTTACCATCTTATAATTTTACTGTTGGCATTAAACGAAGAGAAAAAAGAGCCTATCTTCAAGAAAGGGAGGAAAGTGGATCTGGCAAACTATAGGCTCATCAGCCTGATCTCTAGCCCAGGGAAGGTCTTAGAAAAGATTATCAAAGAAGCTATTCTTAACATCCTGAGGGATAGCCAGCACGGGTTTGTTGAGAGTAGGTCCTGCTTGACCAATCTTATTTCCTTTTACAACCAGGTGACCTATCACCTGAACAAGGGAGAAGAGATTGATGTCGTATATCTTGACTTCAAAAAAGCCAAAGATCTGGTATCCCATGATCACCTCTTGGCAAAACTGGTCAACTGCAGCCTCAGCCTCACCACGATCTGCTAGCTGGGGAATTGGCTCCGTGGTCAGACCCAGAGGGTGGTGGTTGAAGGAAGTCAATCGTTGTGGTGCCCTGTAACCAGTGGGGTCCCTCAAGGCTCTGTCCTTGGGCCTATATTGTTTAACATCGTCATTAATGATGTGGACATTGGAGTCAGAAGTGGACTGGCCAAGTTCGCCGATGACACCAAACTCTGGGGTAAAGTGTCCACACCTGAGGACAGGAGGGCAATCCAGGCTGACTTTGACAGGCTCAGGAAATGGGCGGAAGAGAACCTGATGGTGTTTAACACGGACAAATCCAAGGTTCTCCACCTTGGGAGGAAAAACCTGCAGCATCCTTATAAGCTTGGCAGTGCTATGCTGGCTAGCACTACGGATGAAAGGGACTTGGGGTTCATGATTGACCACAAGATGAACATGAGCTTTCAACGTGATGCTGCAGCTAGTAAAGCGAGCAAAATGCTGGCTTGCATCCATAGATGCTTCTCAAGCAAATCCCAGGAAGTCATTCTCCCGTTGTACTCGGCCTTTGTGAGGCCGCAGCTGGAGTACTGCATCCAGTTTTGGGCTCCACAATTCAAAAAGGATGTGGAGAAGCTTGAGAGAGTCCAGAGGAGAGCCACGCGCATGATCAGAAATCAGGAAAACAGCCCTTACGACGACAGGCTGAGAGCTATGGGACTCTTCATCCTGGAAAAGCACAGGCTCAGGGGTGATCTGGTGGCCACCTATAAGTTTATCAGGGGTGCTTACCAGGATCTGGGGGAACATCTGTTCACCATAACGCCCCAAGGGATGACAAGAACTAACAGTCGTAAACTCCTCCATAACCATTTCAGGCTGAACATAAGGAAGAACTTCTTTACTGTCCGAGACCCCGAGGTTTGGAATAGATTGCTGCTGGAGGGGGTTCAAGCACCTACTCTGAACACCTTCAAAAGACATCTGCATGTTTATCTTGCTGGGATCCTATGATCCCTGCTGACTTCCTGCCCCTGGGGCAGGGGGCTGGACTCAATGATCTTCCGAGGACCCTTCCAGCCCTAATGTCTATGAACTCTATGAGTTCTTTGATTAGCAAGTGTTATTTTCATTTTTTGCATCTTTAGCAGTTTGAGATGCAGGTGATTCAAGTGAAAGTAGTGGCAAGAGTGTTTGACATACCACCATCTATTTTATGGAGGCCACAGATGTAGCATGAATAGAAGTATTGCCTAGTTAAAATATTAAAGAACCTGACTGTGGCCTAATGTTTAGACTGATATAAATGCCCTGATGCTTGAAATGGAAGTAATCTTTCTTTCTCTTGAATTTGTCTCAGGAAAAACACTAAGGCAGAGTCAACAGTTCCTTACAGGTAGCAATGGACAAGTGCAGCATGGACAAGAAATATCACTGTAATTCCAAACAAAATGGTGTTCTTAATCTTATCTGATAATCCCAAATACACAGAGCAATTTGGAAATACAAGCCCAGATTTTCAGAAGCGCAAACCAAGAGTTATGCTGCTATACCCACACATATCTAAATACGTGATCTGATATTCAAAATGAAAAGGTGCCTAAATATGGATTTAGGAACTTAATATTAGACATATACTTTTAAAATCTTGGCCACAAGCACTTGAAATGCTTGAGGCAGCTTCTGCTAAAGCTACTATTAACAAAAATTCATGGGATATCTTAAATCTACATAAAGTTCTAGAGATCATTATTTATACTAAATATATTTCATGCTAATTATATAGATTTAATAAAAATGTTGAAGCAATATTGATGAATTCTATAATATGTGATAAAAGTTATATATAATCTGAGTTAATAATCTGCCAGTCGGTTGTCAGATAAAAAAATCATTATCTATTCTTTGCTTGTTTCTACTATGAGCCTAAATTGGTCAGAACACACTTTCAAAGCTGGTCACTTCCAATTTGCAAACATGCATTCAAATACCTTGATTTTATGTAGGTGAATATCCATTCATGAGATAGTCAAAGGTACTTGCATATTTTACTATGGTAATCTGATTCTGAATAATAATAAATACTTATTTCATAATAATTGATTTATTTAGGACAAATTGTATGCAAATTGTGAAAAAAATCATTATTTTTTTTACCATGTTATGCATTTTTGCTTCTTTTACGTCTGTTGTTTTGTTAATCCCAAGTGCCATATTCAATGTAGAAGTCCCACGTATTCCACTCCAAACAATAACAGCTCCCCAGCGCCAGTTAAATCCATAGCCAAGGCGACTTAGCAGAGGGCTCAGCAACAAAATAACTAGACCCCTGAATGCATAATAGAACATAATAAACAAAAATATTAATAATGAAAGAGAGAGATAGCTCTGTCTGAGTCAGCATACTGAAAGCACTTCAGTCCCTACTTTCTTACAAACTCTCCTAACAGATTTGCATGCATGTTGAACATGAGGAGAGACAAAATGGAACCTGGCAAGACACCCAACTACAGTACTCTCAGTGAGGAGAAGCCACTTTCCCACATTTGCTAAGAACACTGAGCCAGGAAAGAACACTGCCACCCAAAACCTGCAACATTCCCTCCTATCATGAACTACAGTGAACCAGTAACACTTTGTAATAATGAGACAGAAGGCTGTGAATACCTGTAACAATATTAACAAGGATACCTAATTTTTATCCATTACCAAAGGCTCACCATTTCCCTTTAATGCCAGTACATTTCTGTAAAACACCCGGGTCTGTAGCTAGACTGGCAATATCAAGGTGGTGTGTCATATAGGTACTATGAAAATGACACCACTTCAATTTTCTCTGTAAACTTAAGCAAGAATCTGGTCAGTGGTTGATATCCAGATATTCAATTTAGAATGAGGTTTTTCTGAGCAAAGGTCACACAGCTTCTACCTTAAGGGTAACCTTCCATCCTATTCCTTTCCTAAGAGGGTGGCTGATATTCCTCTCCAGCAATTCCTCCTCATTCACCTTCACCAGTGTCACAAGTATGACCCAGACAAGATGGGTCAGGTTTCAAAACCAAGCGTTGTTAACTAGGGAGTCCAAAGACTAGGGATTAGACAGGGATGAAGAAAGAAGCTAGGCCAGTGGTTCTCAATCTTGTTAGACTCAAGGCAGTTCTCCATAACTTTTGTGAATTGAACAAAATCCCATGTCAAAAATGTATTTGTTTATTATCAGGGATCCTGGTTTTCCCTGATAAAAAAAATAGCAAATTCTCTGATTAAATCCATTATTAAAATGAAAGGCATATATATGTGTGTGTGTGCATGTATGTGTGTGTGTAGGTATCAATCAAACACAATGTTTTATTGATATATTTACAGTTGTAAAGCAATCTGGAAACCTATCAGTGCCTCAGTCACTATAATAAAATACATTTTAAATACCTATACATTTTGGTATTTAATTTTGGGATTTTTATTAGGGGTGTGTGAAGCGGGCCCTATTCAGATTTGGATTCGGCCCAAATCAGGGACAGTGATTTGATTCATTGATTCAGATCACTGTCCCTGATTCAATTTGGCCTGCCAAATGTTCAGCCTGCCCCAGTGATGTGGGGCTGCACAGGGCAGGCAGCGGCAGCGAGGAGACCCCCAGAGTCGATCTCTGCTCCCTGCAGAACCAGGTCATGCAACAGGGCAGTGCTGGTCCCTGCTATGAGACCTGGCTCTGGCAAGGAGCAAAAATCCAGGACAGCGCAGAGTGGGCAGCAGTGGCGAGGAGACCCCACGTGGATTTCTGCTTCCTGTGGAACCAGGTCACATGGCAGGGCAGTGCTGGTCCCTGCCATGTGACCTGGCTTCACAGGGAGCAGAAATCCATGCTTGGCTCTCCTTTCTGCCACTGCCTGCCCTGTGCAGCCCCATGTCACCAGAGCAGTGCAGGGTGGGCAGCGGCGGTGAAAAAAACCCCTGGTGCAGATCTCTGCTCCCTGCAGAGCCAAGTCACATTGCAGGGACCAGCAGGCTTGCTTGCTACTCTGAGCTGCTTCCCTGCCCCTCAACCCAGCATGATAGGAATCAGAGATCTGCAGGGGGGTCTCCTTGCCTGCACGGTGGGCAGCAGCCCTCCCCTGGATGAGCAATCCACACCCCCTATCCTGGTCCTCACTGGGACCCTGCAGCCCCCAGCCCTGCCCAGCTGGGCAGTAGGGCTGTGCGAAGCTTGCAGCCCATTCAAAACAGATCTGGAGGAGATTCAATACAGATTCAGCTGAAATGAAACAGGACAGTGATCCAAAACATCAAAACAAATAACTGTCCTCCAAAAAGGATGAA